AAACACTGGGGCTGGGGGCGGGGGAGGGGAAAAGGAAGCAGTCTTTTGTGGGAACATGACAGAAAAACAGAAAGGAAAACTTATAATGGGATTTTTTTTTCAGAGATGATACCAAAAACTTTAAACGGTAGAAAAGCCCCAGGTTGACTTAACAGCTTCTGGCTCCAAGAGTTGTGACATACAACATTTGGCCACAAAATAGCCATTGCTTTTAGGACCAAGAATAATAAAAGCTCTGGTTGCTGCTAGACCCTCTCCAGTATCCTGAAGATAGTGCTACTTAGCATTTGGGGAAACTACTGGCTTAATCTACATGGCCGAAATGCAGCTATCCAATTGGAAAATTAAGAAATTGGAAGTTGGGGGCGGCCGGTTAGCTCCGGTGGTTAGAGCACAGGCTCATAACACCAAGGTTGCCCGTTCGATTCCCACATGGGCCACGGAGCTGCGCCCTCCACAAGTCAATTGAAGACAACTACTTGATTGGAGCTGATGGGTCCTGGAAAAATACCCTGTTCCCCAATAAAATTTATTAAAAAAAAAAAAAGAAATTGGAAGTTGGATCAGGTTTAACAGATATAGTCCCCTGCTTTCAGGGGAGCTGTCTCAGTACTTGAAGATGATGAAGTAGCCTCGGATAACCTCTTAGCATTCTAATACATGCAACAGCACGGATGAATCTCAAATGCATTATACTAAGTGAAAGGAGCCAGGCTTGAAAGGCTACATATTGTATGATTTCATTTCTATGATATTCTGTAAACGGTAGAACTAAACGGACAGGAAACAGATCAGCCGTTGCCAGGAACTAAAGATGGGGAAGGGGAACTGATGACAAAGGGGCTCAAGGGAACTGTTTAGGGTGATGGACATTTTCTGTATCTTGATTATGGCGATGGTTACCTGAATGCACATATTTGTCAAAATTCATAGAACTGTACACCCAAAAAAGAATGGCTCTTACTGTGTGTAAATTATACTTCCAAAAAAAAATAACTTTTAAAAAAGAGTGTTCCTGGAGATACTGTATGCATGGAGAGAAAGGCAGATTTTATACATTTTTCGCTGGAGAGTTTCACATTTGAATAAGTACCAGCAGTGTACACAGGAAGCATAGGCAGTGTCATGTCCCTGCTCCCACCTGCATTTCCATGCGTGACCTGAGCTGCATCTGGCACAATGACCGTCCAGCTCTGGAAGGGTCAGGGTTCAGGGAAAGGGAGAAGAGGCGATGGGCGAAGTGGCAGGCCAGCTCTGTGGGCAGCAGAGGGGGCTGGATCAAGCCTTAGTGGTTTATCCCTGAAGCTGCTCAGTCATTCCCCTAGTTAATTATCTGTCTGCTGATTCAGGAGTTGTGGTTTCTGTGGGCATGCTTCTTCACTATTCCTGCCAACAAGGGCAGAAGGATTCTGAGGGCTGGGAGGGGATGATAACCAGAGATGCCGAGTGGGGTGGGGAGATGCAAAGGAGGAATTTCTATTAGGAAATGCCAGAGTCATATCCAGACTCCCCCTCCTTGCTGTTGCCTGTTTGCCCCATCTTATACTGTCCCCAGGACACCTTTGCCACTCACAATTTTGAGGACGGGAAAGGGGGACAGGTAAAAGGAGAATGCTGCCCTCCCGTGTGTCTCCTCCAGGAGGGGAAAAAAGGCAGACACTTCACAGAGGGTCCCCTGAGGGTCCAGCACCCTCAGATGTGAGTTCTACATGGTACAATAGTGCAGATCCAAATATCCAAAGAATTCATGGCCTCGGCTGTATTCTAATATCCTCCAGAATGCTCAGATGGAGCATTTGAGAATATTCTATGAATGAATGCCGATATTCGAATGTTGAGTTTCTTTCTTTTTTTGTAATGCATTAGTAGCTAAATTTTTAATAAGGAGATTATCAAAATTGAAAGGCCAACATATATATTCTGGTAAAAAATATTGACTTTCTTAAAGTAAGACACATCACCTCTAGATGCCTTTTCATAGCATTCTAACGTATTTATTTTGCTGCCTATGTGCCAGGCATTGGGCACAGACTGTTTATTAACTAGACATGTCCTTCTCCTCATGGAACCTGAAATCTTGTGGATGTCTTTTACCTTCCCTCTTTTCCTAGAGACAAAATTTAAGGTTTTCTCATGGATAAAACAAATGTATTAGCCACTCTCGTCCTTGGCCTCTTCTGTGGGTTCTTGCTGGGCCAGAGAGGCTGAGACATGCCAAGCCACCAATGGGGGATGGGTTCAAATAAGAGGGGTCCCTTTCCCACAGGTGTGGGAAAAGGGACCCCACTAGTCTCATTCTGGGAGCCTGGATTGCATGCACGCATGAAAGTTAACAGCTCTTGCCTCCAATACATGGTACATACTCATGGACAGGAAGAATAATGACAACAGTAGTTGTCATTTATTAAATACTTATTTTGTGCCTTTATCTCATGTAATTGACATAATCATAGAAGTATTGCTTTCTCTACTTTACAGATGAGGAAACTAAAGACCCAAGAGATTAAGTAACTTGCCCAAGGTCACATGGCCAATAAGAGGCAAAATCAAGAATTAAACCCACATCTGACTGGCTTTAAACCATAGCTCTCCAGGATATAAGCTCAGGAGGAGAAATCAGCACCTCAGCTTAGAGCTAATCACTTAGATGGTGATAGCAAACAAAACTTGTTATCCATTAGATCTCAGGCTAGAATAAAGACCTATATATGGGGAAGGCAAAAAACCCCATATTTCTTGGGTGAAGCTAAAAAGATCACCTTCGTACATAAATTCCATAACGCAGTTCTACCCTCAGACAGCCTCTTCTCCCCATCCCAGACTCTCCTATTCTGGGGCAGTGTCTCTGTGCCACCCCCACCCAGCCCCTTTTGTGCCCTTCAACACTCTGTGTCCCAACACAACCCTCCCACTCTCATCCTACACCTGCTTCTCCTGGGATCTGAGGACACCTGCGACCCAGCCACCAACACTGGTGTGGGCGATTTAAATATAATCAGATCTGCTTTTCCTGGGGGCTCATTACTCTGGAGGTCTGATTCTAGAGCTCTTGCTCTTAAACACTACACTACCCTGCCTCTCAGAGAGCGTCTAGGACTAGCTCAGCACAACCCATCACCACTGCTGAAGTTGTCCCAATAACAACACATCTGTGAACTGATCTCCTAGATTATATTTTATGCAGACTTAGGTATGTCAATGCAGTGGAATTCTATATGGATTATTACAACTGTGTAAACCAGATCAACGAAAGATACACCAAGGTTGAAGGGAGGAAAGAGAGAGACACCAAAATCACATACCTACTTTTCATCGTCACTAATATTGAGCCATGAACCATACTGGGCTCTATCTTGTTACCTTACTTCTAAAACCATAGGAAAATATAAGGATTAGACTCAGAAATCATCCAGAAATTCAGAAAGCTGTGGCCGTGAAAAGAAAAGAAAGCAAAAAAAAAAAAAAAAAAGGTTTTAAGTTCACAGAAGTTGGCTTCTCCACAGCAGACACCTGAGTTGCCCTTCTGTATTTCTCCATTGCCCCCACCAACATCAGGCAGCATCTGAACCAAGGCTCTAACACCTCCCAGGGAGGAATGCTGGACACTCATACTTCTGTGCCATTGGTCATCAGGCTGCTCACTGCAAGCTGAAGACATCAGTTGACCTGTTTGAGCTTCCATCACTTGGGAAGCTTCAGCCATAACAACTTAAATAGCCCCCTATATCTTATCTATAACTCCCCCATCAAGATATTGTTCATAGGATGTGGTGATGGTTTCATGGTTGTATACGTATCTCCAAACTCATCAAGTTGTATACATTAAATATATACAGCTTTTTGTATGTCAATCATACCTCAATAGAGTGATTTTTAAAAAAAAGATATTGTTGCCCTGTCCTGTAGAATCTCTTACACGTGTACACACACATGTACAAGTCTTGAAGGCAGTTAATCAACCTATTTCTGAATAGCGATCATTGAAATGGACTTAACAGTAAATCTTACTTTTAAAAAATACTTTCTGCAGGATCTAAATTGTCTTACAGTGAATACCACTCCTTTCGTTAAAAGTACACCTATGCACACTTGTGTGTCCTCTGCAGAAGAACACCCCAGCGGACTTGGAGCCAGAGTTCTCCCTGGGAAGGACACCAGGGCTCCCGGAAGAACCACGTGTAGCATCCCTAGGCTGTGCTGGGCTCTGCCCCTTTTTGAGCACCAGTGAAGCTGAATGCCAACTGCCTTGGCCGTTGATAGTGTGTGCAGCAGCAGGAGAGACAAAGCCAGGGAATCAAGCCAGCGTCAGGGACCCTTGGCGTGGCTCCTCGGCATACACTGGAGATATTTCGGAGGCAGGTCTGTCCCGGAAGCAGAGGCACCGCTACCCCCGGGAACGCTGTAGGAGGCAGAGCCATCATGCTCCCCCGAATCGCTCCCGCAGGGAGTCACCAAAGTTTTGTGTGGTTTTTTTTTTTAATTAAATAAACGGGAGAAAATGTAATGCAAGGAAAAAGAGGAATGTGGATTAATTGGCAAACCCGCACGCACGCACTCTCATCCGAGAAGCTACAACCCCATCCCTCAACCGACGCGCGGGAGCAGCCTAGGGAAGCCCCAACTCGCCCTGGCTACCAGCGCCAGTCTCTCATCGCACTGTCCTGACCACCTGTGACGAGCGCAGCCCGGGCTGAACGCGGGGCTCAGAGATGGGCCCACCGCACCACGCACGTCGAGGCCGCCCAGAACAGGCGCCTAACCCGGCTAAAGGCTTCGGCGTCCAGGAGGACCCACCCCTAGGTAGCCCCTCACCCTGCCACCTAAGACCCCAGAAGGTCCCCAGCTGCGGGCTCCGACAGCCCCAGCTTGGCCCCGCGCACTCAGAGCTCAGCCACGCAGGACCCACTTTCCAGGCTCCAAGTCTGCAAACTTGGCTGTGGCAAGACGCGCGGCGCGGATCATCCGGGAGCGGCGTCGGGGCCGCCAGGAGCCTCACTCACCTCCGACGCCGACGCCTGCCAGCGCCCCCAGCACCAGCACCGCCGCCCAGAGCGGCCGCGCTCGCATCTCGTCCGCCCGCCGCGGCGCTCCGCCTCGGCCGCACCCGCCCGCTCCACAGCTAGCAGCTGCGCCCGCGGCCGCTTTTCCCGCAGCGGGAGGGGAGGGGACGCCGTGGGTGGGACGCAACGGGGCGGGCCACGGACTTGCGCTTCCTCCTCTAAGGCCCTTTTCTGGACTCTGCGCTGGAGTGGGGGCGGTGGGAAACCGCGGTTCCTCTCTCACCGCCTCGATCCCCAATCGAGGCGAGGCTGGGACCCGAACGAGGCCATGGGCGCATCCTCTGCAGGCATCCTGTTTCTAGGGTCCGCTCCAGTGCACTTGGTACGCTTAGAAAAGCCAGGAGCCTGTGGTCCCTCTCCTGACTTACTCCCACCTCCTCGGGGACACCAAAGCGGCTTTCTTTTTCACCTGCATCCTGGGGCGTTCCCTGTGTACTTTGAGTTTCATTCACTCACACTGTCAGGTAATGGACAAATATCTGTTGAATGCCTACTCGGTGTCAGGCACTGGTTTAGTCCTTTATTATTATTCACTAATTTTTTTCTTGGGTGACTTTGGTTTTCAGAGAAGGCTGTAAGCCTCTTGAGGACAAAACACATCTCAAGCTTGTATAAGCAGTTATGAACATAAAGGGCCTCTCTCTACAAATACTTGCTTGAACATAGTATCTGATAAACATTTCAAGACACAGTCAGTACAGTACATATGTAGTGCCCCCTTACACAGGGGTGGGAGGGATAGTTCCAAGGACCCAGTAGATGCCTGAAACCCTATATGTACTGGGTTCCCGCCCCGCCCCGCCCCCCCCACACACACACATATACATACCTTTTCACTTAAAGGAAGCTCTTTATGGCTTCTCTTTGGCATATCTGAATTGCTAGCATCACTAGTCTTGCACTTTGGGGTCATTATTAAATAAAATACGGGTTACTTGAACACAAGCACTGTGACACTGCCACCATCTATCTGATAACCTAGAGTGGGTTATACAGCCTGGATATACAAGACAGAGGACAAAGGGCTGATTCACATTCCTGGCAGGACAGACAGGTGGGGGATGGAGGGTCTATTCAAAACTGTACCCAAATTAAAACTTACAAATTCTTTATTTCTGGAATTTTCCATTTAATATTAATATCAAACTACTGTTGACAGCAGGTAACTGAAACTAGGAAAAGCTAAACTATAGATAAGGGGCTACTACTGCATACTATCTCCAGACTCAAACTCAGAGGCTTTGGAGCTTTACCACATTCTCCTTCAAAGACTTTTCCCCAAATCCTTCTTCTGGGTCTCCTCTGGGTCCTCACCAGACTAGAAACCTCAGGAAGCTCAAAGGGGCAAAATGCTAGTAGCACTGTGAGCAGGAGGCTACCAGGGAGTGGCTGGGGCTGGTGCAGGCTATGGGATAGGTAGCTCTAAAGCAAGGCCTAAGGCCTCAGAAAGGATCTGGAAATTTCTCCAGCTCCTGAGCTCCCCTAAGGACCTTCAGGGTGCCTCTGGGCTTCCCTACGCCCTTTCCTGAGACACACAAGATGCCTGAAAACTAGCCCTGACTCAGCTCTCTGCCTCATCTCCCACCTAGCCCAAAAAGATATTTAGCATTCCCAAACACTCCATGCCTTCCTGTCTGACTGATCTCCCTTCCTTTTTCCACCTGGAAAATTCCACTTATCTATCACCACATCTCAGATGTCATCTCTTCCATGTAATCTTATCTGATGTCCCCCCTCCTACAGCCCCACTCTCTGCAGAGGTGGACACTCCCTCCTCAGACCTCCCAAACACTAGGACACACACAGTGGTAGCACACATCCGAAGAGTCAGTAGCAATTTGTAAGGGGGCGGGGGAGGAGCCAGCCCACAAAGAGTAGCTGGGCTTTGTGACCTGGCTTTAAGACTCCAGCTCCAGACCTCCCCTAGCTGGTGGAGGGCTTCTAGGCCAGAAGCCATTTCAACAGCATTGCCATTGCCATGGAGCAAAATCTAGTTCACATAACCTGGTTGCATCTCTGCCTAGATATTTACCTATTTGAGATATATATATATATATATATATATATATATATATATATATATATATATATATATATATATATATATATATATATCCAGCCACCTAGGTGTCCCCTCAGCCTAGCTCTGCTGGCACCAACCACTTAGGGTGGGCACTGGCCCAGCAAACATGCTGTCCACGTCTCCAGCCTAGCCCAAGCCCTGGCGAATGTGCTGGCAAGTTCTCAGCCTCAACAACTATGCAAGTGAGTCTCTGCCCAATTCCCAGTATGGGGAAGGGAAAGGGGCTAGTCCATTTACATATCCATTTACATTTAGTATAATAATTGATGGTTGCGTTTATGTCTACCATCTTGTTATTTGTTCTATTTTTTTGGTTTCCGTTTCTCCTTTTCTGCCTTCTGGAATAATTCTCTCTCTTTCTTCCCCCTTCCACTGGTTTGTAGCTATATGTCTTCTTTGTGGTGTGTGTGTGTGTGTGTGTGTGTGTGTGTGTGTGTGTGTGTGCGTGTGTGTGTGTCTAGGGACTACAATATGCATCCTGAATTTATCATACATAGTCTACCTAGAATTAGTATTATATCATTTGATGGAAAACATAAGAAACTTTAACAGTATAATTCCATTGATACAACCCCATCACTATGCTATTATTATCATATGTCTTATTTCCCAATACATAGTAATTCACAATATAATAGTTTTATTTTTGCTCTAAACAGTTACCTCAAATAAATTAAATAAGGGGACAAAAAGATAACCTTTTAAATTTACCACATATTTACCATTTCTGGTGCTCTTCATTCTATCCTCTAGCTCTGAGTTTCTATCTGATTTCATTTCCCTTCAACCTGGAGAACTTACTTTAGAAAATCTTGTAATGAAGGTCCACTGGCCACAAACATATTCAACTGTGTTTGTTTCACCTTTGTTTTTTAAATGCTATTTCTTAGAAATAGATTTCTAGGTTGGCAGGTTTTTTCTTTCACTTTTTTAAAGATGTGGTGCCACTGTTTTCTGATCTCCATTGTTTCTTTTGTTGATGTTGTTGGGTTTCAAAACAAGATTTATGCTGTTTGAAAACCTAATACAATGCATTAAAGCAACTTAAAACAAGACATAGCTCCACTAAATCTACAGCTTGAACAAAATGTCAAGGAGGCACACTCCCCCTGCCCCACCCAACTTGGCCTCCATTGTTTCTGATAAGTCAGCCATCATTTACATTCTTGTTCCCCTCTCTTTTCTATCTGGCTTTTTTTTTTTTTTTTGGAAATCATTTACACTTACAGAAAAGTTGCAAAATATTAAAGAGAGTCACCTTTTATCCTTTACTCAGTTTCCTCTAATGTTAACATTTTATATTGCCATAACATAATTGTCACACACACAGGAGATTAACATGGATACAATACTATTAACTAGTCTACCTTCAATATTTGAATTTAGCCAATTTTCCCGTTAACATCTTTTTCCTGGTTCCAGGATCCATCCAATTCAGGACCCCATACTGCATTGTAATCATGTTTCCTTAGTCTCCTTTAATCTGTGACATTTTCTCAGTCTTTTTCTTTCATCACCTGGACACTTTCAAAGAGTCTAGGCCAGTTATTTTGTTTGTCAGTTTGGGTTTGTCTGATGTTTTCTCATGATTGCATTGAGGCATTCTGGACAAGAAGGCCATAAAAATGATGTGCCTTGTCAGTGTATCATTTCAGGGGATACATGATGACAATACTATAATGTTAACTTTGATCACATCATTAAGGTGGTGCCTACCAAGTTTTTTTGCTATAAAGTTACTATTGTTTCTCTGTAATTAATCAATATTTTATGGGAAGATACTTTAATTCTATGCAAATATCCTGTTTTTCTCCATACCTTTCCCCCCCAACTTTAGCATCTATCAATGGTTCTTGACTGAAATCAACTATTGTGGTATTTGATTAATAGTGATTTTTCTCTTTCCCTTTTCCTTTTACAGCTATTAGTTGGTATTCCACAGGGAAGAAGAGTTGCCCCTTCGCTCCCATTTTAAAGATTCAGTTATTTATTTATAAGTTATAAGTATGAGTTCATGGATATTTACTTTATTCTCCTAGTTACAATCCATTACCATCATTATTTATTTTGTTGCTCAAGTTGTCCCAGGTTTGTCTCTGCTTCTATGTATTCTCTTTATCTTTGGTTTTTCAGCAGCTTGACTGTAAGGTAAATAGGTACTGTTTCCTTTGTATTTCTCTTGTTTGGGGTTGGTAAGACTCTTGGATACATAAGTGATTTATTTTTCACCAAATAGGAATGTGTTAGCCATTATTTCTTCAAATATTTTTTCTGCCCATTAGCTCTCTCCTTATCTTCTAAAACTCTAATTACACATATTTTAGATCTATCTAAATATTTATAATTATAAATATTTATATAATTATAAATATTTAGATATTATTCCACAGGCCACTGAGGCTCAGTTCTCTTTTTTTAATCATGTCTTTGTCTTTCTGATTAAATAGCCTATTAATCTCTTTTTAAATTTCCCAATTCTTTCTTTTGCAGTCTCTAATATGATACAAAGTCTATCCAGGGGATATTTTGGACATTGTATTTTTAAATTCTAGAATTTCCCTTCATTCTCTTTTATTGTTTCAGTTTCTCTGCTGAGATTCCCCATATCTTCAATCATTATGTCTACATTGTCCTTTAAGTCCTTAGGCATGTTTACAGCAGCTATTTTAAAATTCTAGTCTGGGAATTTTGACTCATCTGTGGGTCTGTTTCTCTCTCTCTCTCTCTTGTCCCTTAAAGAGTATTGAGTTTTGTTCTATTGGGCACTTAAATTGATCTAGTCAGGCTTGGTTTTACTCTTTTTTAGGACTGGTCTTTTTTTATCTTTAGTCTTAGGGAGTGGTTTCTTATTACAGAATGTGGTCCTTACTCCTAAGGTGTGACCTTTCTGTGTCACCTAAGTACTTGAGTTGTTCAGGGAGATCTCTTCATTTTGACTGGACTAAAACTCCAACATCTCTAAACTGTGTGCAACCTCTAGT